AGAAATTTAAAGAAAAGACTTACAGGAGCATTCTATCTGTGAAATTAGGGAGAGAAAGGGCCAAGGATGACCTGACTCTATTTATACCATTGGCCAAAATGAGGAAATAAAGCAGAGAGTATGGAGTGGGCTTAGGAAAGAAAGATTTCTATTTTGGATTTGGGATACTAAAGATGCCAATGAATCCCCTAAGACAAGATACCAAGAAATAAGGACTGGACACATGGTAAAGAACCTGCCTAGACAAGTGTCAGGTACTGAGTGTGAGGCCTAGAACTGCAAAATATATATGTATTTCCCATCTTCAGCTGCCATTAAGTGCTCTTCTGTGTCCTGCATTGCATTTATCCACAGAATGGAGACTCAAGTTCAATCCCCTGTACAGACAGAGAGAGAGAGGGAGGAAGGGGGGGGCGGAGGGAAAGGGTGAGAGAGGATGGGAACAAGAGAAAGAGAGAGAAATAACAGCATAGTGTGGCACATAGGTCTGGTGCAAGCTCTATGCCTTAAGCTCAACAGAAACATTTGGAAATGCTGTAAAAAGCTATGTGAGTAAGAACACCTAGGGAGAGATTATGGAGAAAGCACATTACCAAAGACCAACAAAGTCCTAAAGTGGGTCGAAGTCCTCACGTGGTCAAAGACAAGCAGAGGAGCTTGCAAGGCAAACTGAGAAGGAACTGGCCGAAAGGTGAGATAAGCGGGAGAACGGGGTGTCAGGAAGCAAAGAGGCCATCTTGTTCCTGAAAGTCACTTGGCAGTATGCAACTGTGATGAGAGCAGTTACTAAGATGAATACAGAGAGATGTCCATGAGATTTGGGATCTGACCACAGAAAGATCATGGACCTTGACAAGAGCAGTTTCACGGAGGTGTGAGGTGTGTGTGTGTGTGTGTGTGTGTGTGTGTGTGTGTGGTGGCGGGGCAGGAAGGACAAACCTAGGAAGCCAGTTGTCAGCCACTAAGCCTGGGGACATTGCTTGGATAAGGATATAGCCAATTTTGTCTTTCTAGGAAGCTTCTCTGCTATTTCTGATTTTAGTTACAATATCTCTGATTAAAAAAAAAAAAGATGCTGTGGGTCACATCTTCCTCAGCCACAGTATTATAAATAAATATGAGCACACAAGGTAGCCACTGCCCAGATAGACAGGCAGGGAGATAGGAAGGAAGGAAGGAAGGAAGGAAGAAAGGAAGGAAGGAAGGAAGGAAGGAAGGAAGGAAGGAAGGAAGGAAGGAAGGAAGGAAGGAAGGGAGGGAGGGAGGGAGGGAGGGAGGGAGGGAGGGAGGGAGGGAGGGAGGGGGGAGGGAGGAGGGAGGGAAAATCCAACAAAAACTGGTCTGAAGCAATAAGAAATCAATTTGATTAATTCTTCTTTCCATTTGGGTCTCAATATTTCATGACAACTAGCAATTAAAATATTAGAGAAGGGCTCTTCCTGTCCCCAATTCATGTCACTTTGAGGAGGCAGGTAACAGGGTGAGGTGGTTAAAGGGGATTCCTGGAGAAGAGGCCCTCCGTGCCTGCAGAGCTCTGCAGAATTGCGCTATGTAGGCTCCACGTGTCTAACACTGATCTGGAGAGTCCCTTTGCACAAAAATGAGAAATGCTAAACTATACACAAACTCATCTCTTAAGTCATTTTATTTCATGATGTAGTTAATTTTAATTTTGGATTAATCTTCTTAAGAGGCAGTGACTTAAATCGTTCAGTGTTTAGTTTCTCACACTGTTGAGTATTTAATGATCTATAAACAAGTGCTTGAGAATTTTTTTATATTAAGAGGAATCCCTTTATACTATTCAAATTTGCCTTTTTAGTTGTCACATAGAGAAACAGGAGGTAGACAGGAGTAGACAGAAAGAAGAGAAGATCTCCCTGTATCTCAGAAATAATCTTGAGGCCAACTGATGGGGGTCTTCTGTATTGGTATTTTAATCATTTCCATATTCCTGGACAGAAACTCTTCAATATTCCTATACAGTAGGAAAGATGATCAGGAAGAAATGCTAGATGTTCTGTTCAATAGTGGGATCCAGCTCCTATTGGTCTGATTTGTGTGCTTTGGTCCTATTTGTGAGGCAACAGCTTCGGCCATTTTTCTCAAAAAGTGAAAAAGAGAAAAGAAACCCAAAATTTTACTCCTGGCTAGCCCATTCTTTCATCTTGTTCATTATTTAACTTCTCTCTGCTTCAGTCCTTCCTTCAGGAAATAGTGTAAATAATGTTTGCCTTTTCCCTGTGTCTCAGAAGTAATTTAAGGCCAGCTGACTCCACCATATGTGGTGTAATGGTGGAGAAAAGAGCTGTTCAAATGTGAAATACCATTAACTGTGGTCCAAATCAATTGCATACGATGTAGTTAGGACTTTTGAGAAACATGTGTATGATGTGTATGTTTTACTGGGATTTGAAATCAGGGCCTTTTCCTTGGTAGAAAGCATTCTACCACTTGAGACATGCCCCTAACTCCAAAGACCCCTCTTAACTTCTTGACTTCAGGTAGGATCTTCCTATATTGGTAGAGTTATCACTGTCTATCATGTGCTGGTTGGATTTGAATTCTACCATGGCTCAAAGTAGCCACATTCTTGTTTTCATTAAACACATTCACAGATTTTCGAATATCCCTTTATGTCACCGAAAATACTTGATGTAGAGCAAAACTTTATCTGGGAATTATATCATATGGGAAAGACTAACTTACTGCACTTTCTGAGAAACCTCACCTGCATGTGAGATTGTTAATGTGGGGGTTCCACAGGAGCCCAATCCATGAGTGGATTGCCACAGAGCACAGAAGAAACATATGACTGTAAAATCATTTAGAACTTTCCCTTTGTGTACTGTGATTACTTTAGGAAGTACATGATTCACATCTACAAGGTTTTTAATCCCCATCTTATAAAGAAGAATTTAAGGCTCAGAAAAATCTAGTGATTGACCCAAAATCACATTGCAGGACTGAGAGTGCAGTTCAAATCATAGAGCCCCTGTCTAGTGAGCATGCAGCCTTGAGTCCAAACCCTAGCACTTCCAAAATCACATTGTCGATTAAATGTTAGAGGCATGATGGGGCTGGGAAGGTGGCTCAGTGGTAGAGCGCTTGCCTTGCATGCATGAGACCCTGGGTTCGATTCTTCAGCACTGCATAAGCAGAAAAAATAAAAAAGCCGGAAGTGGCGCTGTGGCTCAAGTGGTAGAGCACTAACCTTGAGCTGAAGAGCTGAGGGACAATGCCCAGGCCCAGAGTTCAGGCCCCACGATCGGACCCAAAAAAAAAAAAAAAAATGTTAGAGACATGTTTAGATTCAGCTTTTCTGATGCATTTCGAGGATTTCTTTACTCACTATGTCAAAATGATTATGGACATCAGTCTATGGAGAGAAGGAAAATAACATGTGTCCCAAATACCCCATTCAAATTTCAAACTTGATATTCTCAAACTAATCAGTATAATTGGGAAAACCTAACCCACTGTCCTCTTCCTCTCATTAGCTCTTTATAAATCAGGAACAAAAGTATCACATAAGAATCCTCAAGCCAGGTACTGGTGGCTCACGCGTGTAATCCTGGCTACTCAGGAGGCTGAGAGCTGAAGATTGCAGTTCAAAGCCAACCTGGGCAAGGAAAGTACTTGAGACTCTTATCTCCAATAAACCACTCAGAAAACCAGCCATGAGGCTGTGACTCAAGTGGTAGAGTTCCACAGCAGCCCCCCCTCCCCCCCAAAAAAAATCAACTTAAAAACATTCATGGACATTCGTAGGCTGGATACATGTAAGGATTCCTGATAGGCACTGACACACAGAGGCTAAGAATTGAGTCCTAGGCAGTAAGGCTGGTCTGTGGGACTGAATCTTTTAGCTAGTGGGGAGGCCCACCAGCCACCCAGAATTCAAATATGAGTATTGTGTCTTATTCCCCCCACTATTGACCATATGCCATTTCCTGAGAGGAAAAACTGCATTCTAGAATGGAATTACAAAACCCGAGGATTTCGAAAGGTCAGGAAACATATTCATCACAAATGTCAGGTGTTCACTGTCTTACATACCCCTGCTTTACTGTTGCCTTAACGGCCAGAAACTCATGGTAGGAACTAACCCATCTCAGATTTCTAACGTATCTGTTCTTCTACTTGGCTTCTGATAAACAGTTGCTCTAAGAAAAAAAAAAGTCATTTCTCATTTATAGCATTCTGTTTTATGTGCGTGGTGTTGTTGTAAATTGTTTTGAATCCTTTTTGGAAGTAGACAGAGTTTAAATTCTAAATAGATGTTGAAGCGAGACTTTTTAGAAAGAATCATTTATCTTAGTCCAGAGGCCTTCCATGGTAGAATTTTTAAAAGGGAAAGACTATTTTTTTTTAAGTCGAGAATGATAGTTTTTGGATGAATTTATCCAAATTCTGATCCGGCTGGCAGTAGCAGAGAATGAGGCTCGAGTGACGCCTACTGGTGGAGAAAGTCATTCGCAACTACTAGGCGGAGAACTGGAGGGCTTCTGGGCTCTCAACCATTCTCTTCAAACTCGCCTGAATGTGGGTGAAAAATAAAAATAAACTAGACAGAAACACGTGTTGGTTCTTGGTTTTTTTTTTTTTTTTTTGGCCTGCTGAGATCTCCCAGCCTGGTCCCGGGGCAACCTGTATTTTTCACAACCACCCAGTGATTCCAGTATAAGAATCTGAACCCACCGACTCAAGTACTGCCCAGTGGTTCAGTTGGTAGGGAGCTGTCAGGCCGGGTGACTCCCCTGGAAGTCAGACACGGCGCCCAGGGCAAGGGGTGCGGCCTGGGCTTTGCCCGGGGGTGGGGGGGTGGTCAGGGTGGTGGGTGGAGCCGAAGAGGGGAAAGCACTCTCCCCGGGGGTGGGCGTGGCCGGCCGCCCCCCACCCCAGCCCGGGAAGCCGAGGCCCTGGTCCCCGGGGGGCGGCGGGGCGCGGGGCGACCTGCGTGGCGGGGCTTCCTGACGCCTGTGCTTTGGTGTCCACAGACGAACCCAGCTCCTGGAGTGGTCCCGCTGCCGCCTCCCCAGGCCTGCCGGAAGTAGGCGTCTCCCTGGAAGACATCCTCGCTCCATTCTCTCCATCACATCCAGCCCCACCCTCCGACCCTTCCCACCAGATAAGCCCAGACCCAGCTTGGGATATCAAAAGGGAACACGACCACGTTAGGAAACCAAAGGAGCTTTCGGCCGGCGGCCAGAAGAAGCAGCGCCTCGGGGAGCAGGGGGAGCGCTCGGCGAGTCCGCAGCGGGCCGCGCGGCCGCGGCTCGAGGAGGCGCCCGGCGGCCAGGGGCGGCCCGAGGCCGGCAGGCCCGCCTCGGAGGCCAGGGCGCCGCCGGGGCCGGCGGTGGAGGGGACGCGGGCGGGCGGGAAGGAAGGGCTCCGCGCTGCACCCGGCCCGGAGCTCGGCCGCCACCGCGACGGCCCCGGGGCTGCGATCGCGGGCCTGGGCGGCGGCGGCACCGAGCGGCCCGGCGTGCGCGCAGGACCCCGGCCGGGCCCGCGGCCCCCGGGGGTCCCCCCAGCGCGCAAGGCCGCCGTGGCGCCGGGGCCCTGGAAGGTGCCGGGCTCCGACAAGCTGCCTGGCGTCGTCAAGCCCGGCGCCTCGGCCGCCAGATGAGCCCGCCCGGGCCTCGGCACGGCCCCGCCAAGCCCGCCACGACGCGGGCCGTTCTTCTTAGGTTCCGTCTCACCGGCGTTTTAATTTATTGTCTTCACTGTCACACGTGCATAGATCCACGAGGCACCGAGGCCTGGGACGCGTCCGAAGAGCCCGGGCGGCCTGGCGTCCACGCGCAGCAGACCTAAACTGATCCCAGAGCCCCCACCCCCGGGGCCACGGTTGGGGGGGGCTTTGCAGCTATGGAAGAACCAAAATAACGTGAAGAACATCACAGAGAGACAGTGCAGTGTAGCTTTAGTGCAAAAGAAAGAAACACGATGGTTTTATCTTCCCTCTACCCCCCCCTCCCCTCACTGCATGAAGGGTTTGGGTTTCATCCAAACCCTTATATCAAGAAACTGGACAAGTTAAGAGCAATCACAAACTGGAATATCGCCTTAAAAAAATAATAAATCAAACTGCACGGAGCAAGCTGAAACTGAGACAAGATTATATCTTTTAATTGATCTGAAGCGTTGTAAATAAATTGTTCTTGACATATCTAGACAGGGGTTAAAGGGTTTCTTTGAAACATTCAGAACTGTTCGCCCATGACGTTTCCATGGCTCACCCCGGCGTCCATCACCCGTCTAAAGCAGCACCCATTCCCTGCCCACTGCAGGAGTTAGGAATCTAGTGAATTCATTGGTGTGATGCCATTTTTTTTACTGCCATTTCTGTGATCAGATCATGTTTCTGTACATTTTCAGTGGTAGGGGAAACAAAGTTTAAAAACTTATATCCTAGGGAACAGTTTGCCATACGTCAGAATTTTGCAGGTTAGCTCACAGATCTGAATCGATTTTCCTCTAAAATACAAATTTTATCATCAAAAGACCACAACCTATTTAATTGAGATTGGCAACGCTGCAGGTCCTTTATGAAAAGGCTTTCGTATTGTCCCAAGCCAGAAGATATAGCTTCTTTGTCAACAAGACTGTTATCATCACTGATATTATTGTCTATCCTAAACTTTCTCCAATACTCCATTTGCACTTTGACAGAGCGAAGTATTTTTTCTATACTGCTCACATAATAATGAATCCTTAATATGAAAAAATCACTATTACAGCTAATTTATTTTCATGAAAGAACATGAGTCCTTTTAGCATTTCTTCTATCTTTCCTTATTGCTTTTGTTTTCCTTTGGTTTGCTTTTGTCTTGCAGTCTTTGCTAGTGTTGTTTTTTATTTTTAATTAGCACTCTTTCTAGTTGTTTATCTTCATGGGTCTGTGATTGATCCCCATAGCAAGAGTCCAAGCTTCCTTTCCTTTTTTTTTTTTTTTTTTTTTTTTTTTTGTAAAATGTTAGCATCAATGAATTATCCATCGGTGCATGCACATATTTAAAGGCAAAACATATAAAGGCAATTTGTCTGCTCTGTATGAATGAGGATTTTGTCCTTCCATACTCTGCCCCTGGCAGGCATGTTGATGCCAAGATGACTCACCTCTCTACACTTGTAGTTATACAAGTAAAAAGAGAGATCAAGTGGATTTGATAAGATCACACATGATCACCTACCTAAGTGGCTTCTTTCTGTCACTTCATGACTGCTGAAACCTGAGCACTACAGTTCAATTTCCACTAGACGTAAGAAGTAGTTTAGTTGTTTGATCAGAGAATATGGTTGAAAGCCTCATGTGAAGGGCCTTGCAGCTTATAAAAGCAAATTCAAAAAAAATTCCATTCATCATAAACAAAAGCACAAACACATGTAGCAGTTTATAATACATTTGGTTTAATCTTGATCAGTCTTTCTCCCCTGGACTAGAAATCCAGTATAGTTTGCCATTAATTTATTGAATCTGGTTTTGGACAATGCTTCTGTAGTGTAGCTGCACGTCCTGGTACTGTATCCTCCGACCTTTATTTTCCATGTGTTACAAAAGGAAAAAAAAAGTTGAGATTACGCTTGCATAAACTCTTAATTTGCACAGTTCACAGCTACTACTCGTGCAGCAATTGCTTTATGCGGCTGTAATCCATAACCTGTGAAGTCAGCACATTATCTAAATCTCATTCCAAATAATATTTCTGTGTAGTGTTAGCTGTGAATTTACCCTGTACAGCTGTATCTCTATAAATATAATTCCATGTATTAATAGTCACAGAAAGACTGTAAGTGAGCAACTATTTTTATGAAACGCACCACTATGGATAAATTAACTTTTACAGAAATCTTGTTTACTGTATGATATTCTAAAACACTGTCAAATAAAATATATATCCAAAAAGCTTTTCTTTTTCCAACTATATCAGCTGTGTGTTAATTTGAAATAGATGACTCTGGTGGCTTAGCTTTTAAAAGTTGCAGTTTTCCGTGAGTTTAAAAGTATAACTTTAATGCCCTAAATAGGATTTCTTCCAAACGTACTATTGAACTTTTTTTTCAGCCAAGTAAAACTCAAAGTTTTCTCAGAGACAATCCAGTTAATATTTGTGTGTCTGCTTACTACATCATGAATGATATGTTTCTATGGATTGCTACATTGGTTGATATTGTGCCTTTTCACTCACACAAAAAATTAACAGTATGAAATTCTATCTAAATTCTATCACTTTCTTTTTAATTCTGAAACCCTTTTCATGCAACACTGCAAGAAGTTCATGCAGAAGCCAGTGTTCAGTGAGCAATGATGAATGACTTTTCCTGCTTACGGACAAAGACACTTGAAGTTTGAAAACTGTCCCTCTTTTACTCCAATACTATATTTTTTATTAAAAAGATCATGATCCACTTTTGGAAAAGAAAGAGGTGACATGAAGTATGAAATCAAACACATAAGGTACTTTAAAAAAAAAGATATTTGTTTGTCATAAATACATGTCGTGTTTAATAGAGGTGTCTAAAAATGCCCTAGTACAAGTAGAAAAGCAGAAGTCTTATGAAACATTGTACTTAACAAGGTACCAATATGAATGATCTATAGTAATTACCATTTAAGAATTATTAGGAGACCAAAATGAGATGATAAGAAATCAAAAACCGTTAGGTACTCTGAGGACAGGAATCAGGCAGAAACTAGCGTGAGGAAACAAGCCACCTGGCCAGCAAAGAGACCTTACCATGGATTCCAAGGTCTCCCAGGGCAAGGAGGGGGATCTAGAAAAGTGATGGGAACCAGATTGGGCCTAGGCTGTAAAGCCACCCTTTTAAGGCTTGCTAGATTCCATTGCCCAGATTCTTGAGAGAAGAAAACGATTGGCTATGTAAAATGTTTTTAAATTTTGACACAGTTAATTTGCATATATGAAGAACTGAATAAGAGCACAAAAACATTACCATGACAAACCGTTTACCAGCCAAATCCAGCCCCTAGTCCACCAATTTTCAGCTGCTTTCCTGGAACAGTTTGCTTGCATTGAGATCTAATTTACCTTCCATGCTGGACTGTGTAGATCCTGAGGGGGTGGAGCCTGTGGCTCCTGAGGTACAGGCAAGCCTTCAGATATGCCATGCTAAGCAGTAGGTTTAGGTCAGGCTCAGAAAGGGCCTGCCATCCCTGTAAGTACCTGTGGGTTCACCAAAAGTTAGTCAACTGCAGCGCTTTTGGAATTTGACCCTTATTTGGACTCTGTATTCTTTTTTAATGCATTTTTATTGTTATTATAAAAGTGATGTACAGAAGGGTTACAGTTACCTAAGTCAGATAAAATATGTTGGGGTTTTTTTTTGGACTACGTCTTCTCTTCCCTCTGTCGCCCAGTTTTTCCCTCCCATCCCCACCCAAAAGTTCCATAGTTCATTTTCAACACAGTGTCCAGTATCACTGCTGCATTTGTTCACACTTTCTCCCACCATTTCTGTGCCCCCCACCTTTACATCACCAAAGACAGATAAAGGAACGAACAAGACAAAAAGAAAAGGAAAATAAAGCTTTTGTTTCCATTTCCTGGAGTTCATTTTGGTAAATATTGTTTTATAAGATCAGATACACATAGGTATTGTGCCTTTGTGTTCCTCACCTAAAAACATCCTCTTTTGGTCTCATTTTATGTGACTGCCTAGAAACCTGTTTTAAACCATCCAGTGTGTTTACCTGTAGATGTATAAGCACATTCTAGCTACCACAAATGAGGGAAACCCTGCAGCCTATGTGTACTCTATTCTTAAGATTTCTTCCCCAAATGGTGTAAGCTTGGAACTTCTTAAAGTTGAATCTTCTTCACTTTGTTGATATTGCTTTATTTTATTATTATTATTATTTTTGGTCATGGGGCTTGAACTCTGGGCTTGGGTGCTGTCCCTACACTCTTCAGCTCAAGGTGAGCGCTCTACCGGTTGAGCCACAGCACCTTCCAGTTTTCTAGTGGTTTATTGGCGTTGAGTCTCACGGAGTATCCTGCTCCGGCTGGCTTTGAACCATGATTCTCAGATCTCAGCCTCCTGAGTAGCTAAGATTACAGGCCACTGGCACCTGGCCCTACTTTGTTGATATTGCTAATTTTTAGGACAAACTCACAGCTGAACAATGAAACTCATCACTCTGAGAATTTGGATTAAACAAAGATTTCTTTCTCAGACACTGTAGTACCAGGCAGGATACCTATAAAATCACAAGAGTGCTCTTCAAGTCTTAAAATTGCGAGGGTACTGTGTCTAATGATAAGTTCTTCATCACATCTAGTTCATGCAGAGCCCCAATTAAACATGTAGAGGTTATGATTATGATTGTGGTGGCAATAATAGCTGTGCTGGTAAACATTTGCATATAAACAATAGAGTAACACCCTAGATTTAAATCAAGCTCTTGCTGGCTGGGCCTTCAGGAGGGTATCGGGGCAACACAGTGATCAGGGACTTTATGGAAGTTCAAGTTCATTTCACTATCCCTGTAAGAGGGAAACTTATGACTGCCAGTGAGCTCAGTATCTCTAGGTGCTCTAAGGACGTAAGGGGCCTTTCTTCTGGAGTTGGAGAACTGTCTCTTGGAGAGTGACTTCATCTGCAAGA